TCGCGTGGGATGGAAGGGCAGATTGCGGGGAAGTAGAGAATGCATGGGCGAGAGTGGTGCGGAGGGAATGCAGCGAGCGCGTGCCACTCGCGCCTTGTGAACGCGAGCGGGATCGCGAAAAGAAGGGAGGGAGGGCTGCGGAAAGCGCCGGCAGGGAATGGGAGTGGTCAGAGGAGGAAGGAAGGGGGGGAGGGAGGGCTGCGGTCTCGAGATCATCGCAGCGCGGGATGTAGAGGATCATGGCATGACGGGAAAGGGGAATACGGACAGGACGGGGGAGTGTGGGCTGGGAGCATGCGACGAATGGGAGGAAGGAAGGAAGAAGTGGAGAGGGAGTGAAGGCAAGGGAGTGGGGGCACGAGTAGTATGGGGCTGTAAAGGAATGGGCAGCGGGCTGTCGCGCGAGTAGCTCCCTTCGACGCGTTGCGTGTAGCCCCAGTCCCTGCGCCGCGTGGCTACTTGCATGACTCGCAACCCCGCGCGCTTCCACAGCCCGCGGAAGCTCCCGTCGTCGAGCAGGATCCGCCTCACGTCCTGGACCACGACCGGTGACATTGCACCAGCGACGAGCTCGCATTGCCCTTCCCGTGCAGGTGCGAGTGCGAATGCGAGAGCGCGTCGAGTGAGCCCTAGCGTCTCCCAGGCGTCTCGACGGAGTTTTTGAATCCTTGCATGCGGACGTGCGACGCGCCAGAGGGGCAGCGAGCGGCTGCGCGGGACTGTTGTTGCTGCCGTTCTGTCTTGCATCGTAGTGCTCGTCGTCCAGACTTTTGAGGCTTCATCGATCGCCCCGCGGCAGAGCGCAATGAGAAGCTCAAGCCGCATGGATTTGTTGTCGAATGCGTTGCCTGAAGATGCGGAGGGGTAGGAAGCCTGTGACGCCGCCGAGAGACGATGGGATGAGGTGCATCGCCGGCAGGAACGATCCTTGTCGCGTGGCTCCATAACCCCCGGTCCCCCGCGTCGTCGTCTCGTCGTCGTCGTCAGCGGCGGCGGCGGCGGCGGCGGTATCGTCTAGCCGCCCGGTACTGTAGGCTGAGAGTCCAAGGAAGCCTGGGAGAAGGCTAGACGAGGCAAAGGCTGGGCAAAGGAGACTGGGTGGAGCAAGCCGTGTACGTAAACCAGCTGACGCATCACCTGTTTCTATTCTCCATCTTCCTTTTGTCTTCCTTTGCGCCAACTTGTCGCCAACTCATCGCCGCTCATCGCTCTCATGTTTAACGTGACCCACCGGGAAGATAGACGTTCTCCTACTCTCAAGCCATCGGTTGGGAAGCTTTTTCTCGTCTTCAGAGAGTCAAGACTAAAATACCCGTGAACTTTCAAGGCCACGGAGATCTGTCTACATAGGAGTCTATCGGGACCGCCGCTGAATTAGCGACCCTGCTCGCTCCTCCAAATGATGCTTGAATGGCTGAAGTGCCCGCTGGGGTTATTCTCTCTTCTTCTTCTGACTTCGCCTCAACGCCAAGGAGACGGAAAACATCTCTACCAACGATGCGACATCGCGGCCGATTCATAGGGGCTTCCCTAGTATTGCCCGCCTCCTTGGGAGGAACGACACACACCTCGAAACCCCCGGAATGCTGGAGCGCGTCGGCAGGCCCCGTAACTCTTAACTCCTTCCCTAATGTATATCCGTTCATTCTATTTCTCTCTGTGCCTCCCGAATCGCGATGAAACGAGATGGACGCGCTCGTCGACCGCCGCATCAATTGCATTCCTGGGACCTCACAGAGGATCGCTGGAACGGCGCGGAACAAGAGCTTAGAGATGTGCCCGCAAATCAAATCGCAGAGAAGCCTCAAGAGATGCTGCGGCCCCGGCTTCAGATGCAAACAACAACCGCGCGCACAGAATCTGCGGCCTTTCGTCGAATTCTCTATCAATTCAATATTAATCCTTCCCTTCGTCCGATCCCTGCAATAGGAATGGAATACGAGGGTCGTGACGCGATGCGCAAACCTTGCGCGCATCGATGCCGGCAGTGGCACCGACGCTCAAGTTCATCTTAGAGCCTGCCTCGGACGACCTCCGCCTCGATTCTGAATTCACTCACGGTCCGCGCCTGGTACGCCGATCCGGGACTCTCACTCTCCTCGTGTCTCTCGTCCAGATTCTGCAGCGCTACCCTGGAGATCCCGTGCTACTTTGTGCTCGCTTCGCTGCGGAGGCGCGGCGCGGACGACTCTGTATTCATTCGAGGGCGATGGATTCTTGCGTGGTGAATGGTAATAGCAACCTGCCCTCTATCGAGAGAGTTCGTTCAAGCTGGTGCCGCAGCCTGCCCGCGCGACCTCAGGGTGCGCCTGGGCTTTCTGTAGCACCACGCTGCTGAGAGGAACTATCCTGCAAGCCACCCAGGAAACCGCCATGGCGTGCAAGAGCTCAATACCAGTTATTCGATCGCGCGGGAATGGAACCCACGAGCTGCCCCACATGATCATCGGCGCGTCCTCCCAATCCAGTCTAATGCAGCATTCAAAAAATTGCAAGAGGGACTAAAATGCTGTTGGGCGACGGTGCTGAATCTGCTCAGATTTAGATTTAAGACGAATGAAGCGGACGAATCGCGCTCAGGTGCATCGCATCGTCAAACAGTCGAATGGATCTAGCCAATTTCCGCGGTGTATACCTTGCACTCTCCGATACGGAGGGCAGAGTTTCTGGCAGTGCGTAAATTTAACCATACTAATTGTCACTTAACCAGCGGTCTGTGAGATGACATGTCATCTCATGGATGAATGAATGTTAAATAAATGGACAGGCCGCGGGCGATGGAACAAGCCGTGAAGAACGATGCCGAACTTGGATGCCGAGTGATTGCGTGGGCAATGTACACACAACAATTGTGATGCAAATCGGCTGCTGTGGCGTCCCTCATCTGGGTAACCCTCACAAGGCTCTCCGCGACTTCCAGTGCTAGTCTTAACTCATTTAATTTCTCACCTTGAACCACCACCAGCAGGACGCGAAATCTGTTCATCCACATCTCTCGTGAAGTCTCTTGCAAGCGACGCAATAATTCGAGCCCCTGCGGTGTGTATCCATTCTTCTTATGCCTCCCGATAAAGTATTAAATGCCAAAAGGCTACTACTACTACTCGATGGACGGCTTAGCGCAAGAACTTGTTGACTACATCATAGATTGCTGGGAAGTGGCAAACAGTAATGCCATGACCTCCTGCGGCCTGGTGTGTAAAGGCTGGTCATACCGCAGTAGACACCACCTCTTCTCGAAGGTGTATCTTAAATCCAGAACCCTTTCGACCTTTCTGGATCTCGTAGAATCCTCCCCCTTCCCGATCCTTTCCTTCGTACGGCACTTAACATTGCAATACAACCGCCCTCTCGACGCAGCGCATTTGGCCCGACTATACCAATGCCCAAATCTCGAGCATATCAGGATCTATAGCACCTGGGACCGAGGGGATGCAGCTGCAGATTGGCTCGGCTCTGACGAATTTCATGCCATCTCCGAGCTTGGAACGACAATTCAGGCTCTATTTCCCAGTTGGATTTAACTGCTGCGGATGGGATGAGCCTACCGTGGAGCACACTTATCAAGTTATTATCGTGTCTCCCATCCGTCGAAGCACTGGATGCTTACCTTGTATTCTTCGTGCCACCCACTACAACGGACCTGCACTCCGCATCTCTCGCCACCAGCCTTACGCGTTTGGAATTACGCATGTGCTACAATTACGCCGCTGTTTTCTTCGCATCACTGCTCACTCTGCGTGTGCTTCCAATCCTCAAGTCTCTGAAACTCGATGGATATCTAGTCGATGGGGATGATTGGAGTCCTATCGCAGTATATATGGAGCGGGCCGGCGAGGGACTGGAGTCCCTCAAAATAGCAGGCCCACGGGAAGGTGAGCTCCTGTGGGACCATCCACATCCGCGCGATTACTCATGTCTCAAATCATAGTCTCAGCCGCACGGTTTTACAGCGGGATCTTTCCCCACACCATCGCTCTCCGAGAACTGGCCTTCGTGGCTGTTAATGTTTCCAGCCTGCTCGATATTCTGTCGAGTCTGACCGGATCCGACCACTTGGTCTCCATTACCGTGACACTGCATGTATTTAATTGGTATGAGCCTTGGGAAGCGCTCGACGCTGCACTGGCACACCCCCGCCGGTTTACCGCCCTGAAACGGTTCTCCTTTCCGGATCCGTACGTCATAAAACCGTTGTCTCCAGCTATAAAGGCCCTCACGCCGCAGGCGGATGCACACGGGATTCTGGATTGAGTCGGGGTTCTTCTCGACCCTGAATCTTCCCGCTAGCTAATTCTTTTCTATACGAGATCACCCCGGCGGTCTCTGGAGACTGGGATGCGGGGAGGTGGCGCAGGCGACTCCATGTTCATTCGGCTACCAATATCTTGTAGTATGGTATGGTGTGGTATGATTATGACTTTCATCTTACCAGCACCCATGTCCGCGCGTTCCTCTGGTCCCGCAATGACTGCCGATTTTTCCAACGGTGCCGCGGTTGGTTGTTCCTCCACGTCCACTCGCAGGCAGCTTTTTATTGTCCTCTTCCCTCGCGTGTCAAGTTTCATCACTGTACTGTAACGTACCCTTGGCGAGACTCTGCACGCGGCGCCGCACGTTTCTGGAATCATTTGTCCCGGGCGTATTTCGAAAAAAAAAAACAGGGGAGACTCCGTCTGCTCCTCGAGTGGTCCAGAAATTACGGTAACACAGGCAGGTCGAAGGCCGGGGCTGTCCCTTTGCAACCACAAAAAGATCGCGAGCTTGAACTTGAATTTGAGCCTTCTAATGGTCAAAGCCCATTAGGATGCGATTCTCGGCCGATTTCAGAGTCACTCTGAGACTTGATCCTAGTTTTTGACTTCCCCTGTTGTCACAGGAGTGGGAGTCTTCCCTAAACATGCTCATCCATATGAAGTGAATAGTTTCAACATTTGTGCGCCATTGTTTGGGATTCCCTCCACCGCTGTGATAATATAATGTACATAGCACCTTATATTGGCCGCCTGGCGAAATGGCATCGCGTCTGACTACGATATACAAGCTCTTCCATTTGTAATCGGTCATCAGGAGATTGCAGGTTCGACCCCTGCGGTGGTCATCGTATTTTTAGCATTTTCTGCCCCATGCGTCTTTTTTTTTTTTGGCTGGATCACACTTTCGGCTTGGGTTCTCCTAGACAATTTTCCTCCATTAAAATTTTTTGGAATCACCGCAGTGTCAGCGTCCAGCCCTTTCTTCGCACCCTTTATTATGTACGCAAGATTTACATTGTCAGCAGCCTACTGGACATCTTATGGGGGCTGAGACGTGATTACATGTCAGCACTTCAGCATGTTGGTCCTCAAGCTTTTTTTTGTTGCCTATCTTGAGCTGCATGACTGTATTTTCCTGCAACGGCAGGGGTGAAGAGGAGGGATCGTTACATATCTCGAACCGTGGGAGATCAATGAGGGATGCCGAACCATGCCGAGTGATGAGGTGGCCGGCCCAGTCGTGGTTCTCATGCTGCAACTGTCAGCGTCCAATTCCGCCATCCAAGGCCTTTCAAGCCATGTTGGAAATTAGACTCAATCTCCTTCTCCCCTGGAAAGACCCAACAATATTATCCGTGAACTCGCCAGGAGTCAGGACCACATCAGCAAACCCTGGGGTTGCTGGGCAGTGCTGTGTAGCACCGTAGTGCGGTAGCAGGGGGTACCCTCTGTTTAGCACTGCATAGTGCTCTGTAGCGCTGTGTAGTGAATCTATATATAGTGGTCGTATTATCTCATATTAGACGCTATTACTTACTTGTTCAAATCTCTCATTTTCATATAAATTTTGGAAAATAGTTTCCAAGTACATATTGGGAATCAGCAGTAAGATTTAACTAAAGTATAGCACCTTATGGCTCCGACTCAATTTTATCGCTGGTTCCTAGCGTGCTCTCACTGACCGCGCGCCCAAATCTCAAGCTTCCAGTGATGCTCGTACTCCACTCCTCCTCCGGTCTTGATTGACCAGCCGCAATTCGTAGGATTATAAGCAGTGGAGCCATCCCCTTTGTCTAGTCAGCGACGTCCGGTTTTGCATTGAACAATGGCTTACCGCCTGCAGAGGATTATCATGTCAGAATAAGCGCATCGTGGGGGTGAAAAAAGGTAAAGCTCACCATCTGAGCATGGATGTTCTGTGCATAATACAAGTTGACGTTCTTCTCGACATCCAACACCACAAACGTGAGCAGCGTCACCGAGTACAACAACGCCGACTCGATGAGGATTTCCAAAACAGGGTTGAAATCACGATACGTCTCCGTCCCAGCCTTCTTCGACGAGTGCTGGACCAGCAGGATTCGCAAGGCGATAAGGAACGTCGTGGTCAAGCTGGTCGCGACGGACAGCGAGAAGTAGATCGTGCTAAGGCGGACAAACTCGTGTGATTTTTTTACGATGACGAAGGGCTCGAGACTGCGCAGTGCGATGACTTGGTCGGAGATAATTATTCCGCCCAGAACTTGATTTTGCGGTTAGCCCGTGAAATAACGAAGATAGCTGATGTGCGTACCGACGCCGGTGATGGTTGCGAGTGCAGGAAGCACGATGACCTGCCATCGGCGGCTCCACACGCACCAGCATCGCCAAATCAAAATACAATCCGCCATAAAAATGTTGAGCACGAAAAAGGAATCTCCCGTCCCCTCGAGCCACGCGGGCAGATGCGTCAAGGAGAACAAGAGCCCAGGGCCGCCAGGGAGTTCATTTTCGTTGATGGCTTTGGAGTACCACACCCAGTTGAGCGCGGCGTGCATCGTAGAGCAGATATACGGCATAATGACCATTGCGAGTTGTGCGGTCCTGCGTATGCCGCCGTCTTGCTTGCGGTACCCTGTACATGGGGTGGGTGGAAAGTTGTATATTCAACGAACTTGCAGGTGAAACGATGACAGCAAGGCGAGCTCACAAATCACCCAGAGCGTCACCAACATGGCGGCCGTGTACAAGCCTGTTCGGCAGAGAAATTAGCATTTGAAGCTGTTACAAGAGAGATTAGGCTACCATGAAACCAGTCCTCGACAATAGATGAGCTGATAGGCAGTGGGGGGGGCATTTCGTGTCGACGTCGACGGAGAGCTAGGCTTGACAGCTCTTAGCTTCTTGGGCTCTTAAGTGTCACCGAATTAGATGGCCACAGGCTGGCACAGGCCACTATGCCGCCGCGAACAGCACGGTGTCCGTAAGTTAGGCCCTGTTCGGGATCCCCATCTACGGCACATTTAGCTACCTGGACCCCCAAATATGGGCAGATCACATCTATCAATGTCCAGTTGTCACTCGGTCTAGACCGGCTCCATCAAACTGCTAGGTGTCGGCGTCATCCATCCGCCGTCCGCCCAACGTCCGCCTAACCCGCCACCCCCGACGTGTCCCCGCTCCCTTGCCCGCACCTATTCTTCAAGCAGGGAATGTATGAAACTAATAGATACATACGCTAATATTGAATATACTGCTCATATGAAAGGAGTCTCGCTTCCAGAACATGCCTAATGACTAAGATATGCACTCCCCGATGCGCTGGACGTCGAGGTCGACGTCCGTTGACATTGGTCGGAGCTTTTCGGCTTGAATGATCGGACTGTCGGGGTCCGTTGATGTGACGGTTTGTGACTAGCTACCTGTAATGTAGCTAAATGTGCCGTAGATGGGGATCCCGAACAGGGCCTTAAATAATTTGTTCTCACAGAGTCTCTGCATCACAAAACAGATCTTGGCCGCTGTCAGCTTGATAGATATATTTGCCGTGTAGCCTAGCTAGCTATCGCTCCCATTCGTGTGGGAATGACCCAGCTGTGTTGAATTTGAAAGGGTGTGCTTCGGCATCCGAGTTTACTCACAATTTTCCGATATATCAAATCTTTTAGGCCATGCACATACACTGCATTCAGGCGCCTCATAGCCACGGACGACCATAGCCAGCATCAGGCGAGCCGCTGGGCGAGTCGTGGCAATCCGCAGTCTAGCCAGCTCCCTACGGCACCGCGGATCTAGCGAGCCGGCTACCGTTACCTAGCAACAAGAAGGTAGCGCCAGCTTGCCGAACCTCGCCGGGCTGCGGCCGGGCTGCGGATGGCCTTGGCTAGCCGACTACAGGCACGGACTAGACAATGAATAGCCGAAGGTACCGGCGCCTTGCCGAATCTCTCCGGGGTCGGGGCTACTCAGGCCCTGAATGCAGAGATAGCGGGTATTTGCCGTGTAGCCATCTAGCTATTGCTCCCATTCGTGTGGGAATGATCCAGCTGTGTTGAATTTGAAACGGTGTGCTTCAGCATCCAAGTTTACTCGCAATTTTCCGAGATATATCAAGACGTCTGTTACGGCCATCCACATAAAAGCCACAGAGGGCATTGGTTCAGCACATACAATCTTGACCGTTGTCAGCTTGATAGTTATCTCGGGGTCGGACGGAATTGTCCGTCCTCGCGCACAGCACAGCTGGCGATTACAGTAGTCCTGGTCGAAGTTAGTCATGCGGGAAGGAATCGTAGAGCTGTGCGTATAAGTATAGATAGCGGGATGGTGTGAGTCAGGAACAGCATTTATATTTGTTAAATTTCTGGACAGATGCAGTGTAGAGCTGATATTCTCAGGTGCGAGCACCAAACACAGACCTCCCCGCAACCATGAGCTCTAATGACTTGCGTATCATATCCGAGTCCTGAGTCGTTGATTTTGAAATTACTTATCTGGTTATTTTTACCTCCATTTCTATCGCGTTCTTTTTCGCATGCGGTGCAAGTATAGCCCTATCTGCCCACGTTGATACCTGGATTCCAAAAGAAAATCATGGTACGAACGTCTTCCCGAGCAATCTGATCTGTCGGACCACTGCTTCAGACCATTTAAATCTCGGGCGGCACCAGGTCCCATCCTACTGTAATATGTTCCTCCGCGTCCTCAGTCTTATTGCTTCATTGGCCCCCGCAGGTAGCCTTGTATAAACAACACATTTCACCTTGCTCATCCCATCCAGTATCGGGTCACAAGCCCGACCAGTTCACCTTGGTCTGCAGTCCCGACTCGGGTCTCTGCATAAACCAGGTGTTTGTGTGTAGTCTCTTCACTTGTATTATTTGGTATTTCTCATCCCTCGGACAGGATCCGGAGACAAAGTCTACATACGGTTTCGTTCTCCCGTCCAACGGCAAATTCTCCGAAGACTTCATTGCCCAAGTCTCCGTCCCCCTGCCATACGGTTTTGCTGGCTTCGGGATTGCGGACTCGACTTCGAGCCCCAGCACAATGCCGCCGTGAGTTAACAACAATTAAAATCTTTAGCCGTTCTTAATTCCTTTCCCCCAGGTTGAGCCTACTTTTCTTCATGGGGCAGAATAATTTTACGTGAGTTTATTAGATGGATAACGCCCGCATCAATACTTACTGCTGCCGTTCAGACTTCAACTCCCGACCGACGGTATGATCGTGCAGCAAGCAGCAATCTCGTTCGTTTTGCTGGCCTAGAGCAACATCCTATGTCTCTAACAGCCCCTCATCCCACAGGGCCAACGCCTCGCAACTCGTCCCAATCGCCAACTCGGGAACCACCACCATCTCCCCGCTCTCCGCGTGGAGCTCGACGCTCATCAATTTTATCTTCCGTTGCCAGAACTGTGCGCTGGCGTCAATTGAGAGGGGCAAGCCGTTTAATGTTGTGGCGTTCAATTCGTACGAAGCGCCCGAGTTTACGACGCCGGATGCAATGAATGCCACGGTTAAGACGGGCGGAGCGAAGATTAGCGGAATCAAGGTTGACGATGTTAGGGCGCTTGAGAGCCCGGATTATGCGGCATATTTGACCGCGGCAGGGCTTGCTTAGCTCGGCGTAGAAGAGGGTATCCAGCGTTTGCGTTAAGTATGTTTCTTTTGCGTATGTAGCTTGTATGGAGGAGATCGCGTCGCTCCCGTTGTAAACTTGTAACTGGCGGCTAAAAAAAAGCGGGTGGTCGATCAAGTAGAAGACAATTTCCGAGCTCGGGGCATCGGCAAATCTCAAGCCAACTCGGGCTCTTGTCGCAAAGATTCCTTTGGGAACGCCCGGAATGCATAGGTAGTCGCTTGC